ACCACGTTAAATTTGTGTCTTCTTTATCTACTTTAATTGTCGTTGTTATCAACTTCCATTGTCCTTGTTATTGCCATTATACCGTTGTTTGGCTATATTCCGCACTACCCGGGTTCCCGTTCCTAACACGGTGCATGCGAGGAAGATGAAGAAGAAAGAGGGTTAACGAGTGTAGGTGATGGAGGAGAGGAGGAGGAAGATATCAACATGGCTTCTGATACCATATAAATTCACACACAACTTTGGGATTGAATTTCTCTTTAGCGTATTAATTTGGGACAGCACAGATGAGAATATACCATAGGATAGAGAGTGAGGAGATCTAATTACATAAGTGTGAGAATGAACGGGAGAAAAATCTATTTTTATTAACAATGATACAATGAGCCCTATATATAATACATATTCTACTCCTAATACATATAGGACTAGGACATATTCTACTCCTACTATATATGGGACTAGAAGTTATCAGAATTTGATGTAATTTATATGGGTAGGCTCGGAATCATTGGACGAGTAAGTTGTCCTAAAGAAATTTTGTCAAAAAGTTGCCAGAATGGCTCATACGCGCCGGAAACGTTATTGTAGCTCACCGGAACCCTAGTTTTGGCGGCGCGTAGAGGCGAGCAAGTGACTTTATGCTGGAGCGATTGACTGGGGTTTTGTCGCCTGACTTTTCCGAACAAGATGGTAGTGTTGGTTTTCGCACAACACTTACCGATTAGGAGATAACACAAATCAATCTTGAGTCGTCAACCGGAAAGATGCACGGTGACTGACTTTTCTATTCAGATGTGATTGGAATTTCTGGGGTTTGGTCGCACAAGGGTTTCGGATCTGATGGTGGTACTGGTATATGCACAGTACTACTGTAGCAGTGATGAACCCTGGGAACAAGACGAAGTTACCAGAAAATTGCACGGCGATGAGATCTTTCTTCCCGGATGTCACTGGAATGACGCACAATGATAATTTTCTCACTGAAGCTCCGATACCATGTGAGAATACACGGGAGAAAAATTTATTTTTATTAACAATGATACAATGAGCCCTATATATAATATATATTCTACTCCTACTACATATGGGACTAGGACATATTCTACTCCTACTACATATGGAAATAGGACATATTATATTCCTATTATATATGGGACTAGGACATATTCTACTCCTACTACATATGGAAATAGGACATATTATATTCCTATTATATATGGGACTAGGACTATTTACACATAATTATCTAACAATAATAACTTTAGAGTATAACTAGGTTTAGGTATCTGACTCTATCCTTTTTCCTGTGGAAGTTTACTAGGACTCAAACTTGATCTAATACTCAGAATATGTGCACTTAGCTATTTAAAGCCCACTGCTTAAGGGAATTATCAAGCTGAGTTCCCTCTCACTCTCTCTTATTTCTCACATATGTCCACCAAAACTTGGACATACAAGAAGAAATCACCTAGTGTCTTTTGCCTCTACTGGAATTTGAACCTGAAACTCATGATTCTCAACCCACTTCATTGAACACTAGTCCACACCCTTGGGTGCGGGAATTGGTTTTGTTCTGGTAAGTGTTTTTTTGACGTCGCTACTTATATGGTAGAGGTATGTTCTGGTCAACTGAGGGCCAACCTTGCCAAAGAGTACATTCAGATTTATGGCCTTGACTATAGTAACACGTCCTGTACTGCATCCACCCACCCAACTGTTTAACTTTTTGCGCCAATGTTTTAATGTACACTTTATAAACAGGATATCTGAAATGCCTTCTTGCATGAGGAATTAGCCATGGAGGTGTACATGAAGCAACCACTCTAGCTTGTTGCTCTAGGGAATTCAGGCTTAGTATGCTGTTGACGGTCACTTATATGGTCTAAAACACTTATAGGGAGTATGGCTTGGAATTTCTCTAATTCAGTTTGTGGTCCAATATCATGGGAAGTGTCCAAAGTGAAGCTGATCGTTCAATTTCCTTTCATTATAATGGTCATGGTTAATGTATTTACTAGTGGACTATGTTGATGACATTTTATTATAGAAGGCAATGACCAAATAGTTTCTTAACTCGAGCAACACTTGTTCAATCGCTGTCAGGCTCAGGATTTGAGAAAATTACAGGAGATTGAGGTAGCACAATCAAAGATAGGCATTGCTATCTCACAGAGCATGCTTTTGACAACTAGAGTAAACAAACGTGTCACATTGTAAACATGTTCACACCCTTAGGATCGGGATTTCAAACTCATTCCTAGACAGGAAGAGCCGCTGGAAGATCTTGACAAATATCGGAGCTATACTAAATTATCTATTTTGACACAATTAGATATCTTATTTGCACTGAGCATGGTCAGTCATTTTGGAACTCCATGATGTAGTCACTAAGAGACAGTAATATGCATTGTCATATATATCAAGGACATCCATACTCCCTTAATGCAATTTTGCTAACAGAATTCCTCATTCTACCTTTTGATATCAAAAGTCATTCTTCAAATTCAGATTTAATCTTAGTTCATGTGAATGGAGTATTATACCAGCTACTTGGAATTAGCCTTTTTTGCCAAGTACTTTTTGAAATATTATAAGCTCTAAGCCTCTAACCACCTTACAAGACTTCCCCCATCAATAAGCAAAATTTAATGTCCATGACAAACCAGAGAAACAATATTGCATGATCCACCCAATCAACCAAAGCAAGGATCATCTCATGCTGTGATAAAGTAAGATCCTTTAGCCAACTGGGATTTACCATTCAACCAGAACGAATGAAATCATAAGAGACATGGATACGAAACATGAGGCTATATACATATATACATACTTGGATCAGTTACTCTCTGACTTCCACGAACAGCATTGACAGCATCCTTCAAAGCCTTCTCCGTAAGCTGGAGATTCCTGAATAACTTTTTACCAAATCTAGTGTCTGACAAAAAAGATAACAACATATGCTCCACAGACACAAAGGAATCTCCCATTTCTTTCTTGTGCTTCTTCGCATTCTCTAGGAGAGAACTAAGATGTGACCCTAATATGGGGCCACTGGTATCACCTACTACCTGCAAGAAAAAATATCTGATTCTCTAGTCCAAGAACTCATCAGAATCCACAATCAGTCTCCATTTTTCATACCTTTGGCTGCTGAGATATAAATTGATCTGTTTCTTGCAGAACTGATGTGTTGTCCAACCCAGTCTTAGTGAATATTCTTCGAGCCAACCCATCCTTCTGCTCCAAAAGAGCTTTCATTAAGTGCTCAGTCTCAACTACTTGTTGCTTGCTAGTCCGTGCCGCCTCAACAGCACCAACAATACCCTCAAGAGCCATCTCAGTGTAGTCCATATTATTAATCTGTTAAATTTTCATACTAATTAACATAACAACAAATAATATGCCAAAACAATTTAAAATTATCCAAAATTAAAGATAAGTAATCATCAGGTCAAATCCAAGAGAATTGACAAATATCTACAATCATGGTACTCCTCATTTTAGAGAAGGCCAGGGAGACCAATGGACCTTTATAAATAGCTGTTTTTATCTGCACAAACCCCTTAGTATTGTTTGAGTACATCAAAACTTCTTGTTTAAGAAGATATAACACAGTTGAGGAAGGAGATGTCCTTTCAGTCACCCGTCCTTTCATTCACCCCATAAGTTCTTAGCATCAATAGTAAACACTAGAGTAGCTTTTATGGCAACACCAATAGCAGCCAAATGAAATGTGCAACCAAACAAAAAAAGAAGTAAACTGACAGCCTCAAGTGAAACAACTATCACAAAAGTCTAGTTTAGTGCATGTGTTTATACATAACTTTGATAAAGTGTACTCCACAAAGGGAAGCCCTCATGTAGGGTCCGAGAAAGGGTCGCACCCCAAGGGTGTGTGATGAAGGCAGCCTACCCTGCCCCAAGGATGATCCACGAAATTGTCAAAAAATAGTAGAATGAAACAGCCTGTCCAACAATTAGAAAATGACAACCTTTTTTTGGGGGGTAGCGGGGTAGGTATGAAATAGACTCTTAAATACATATATTTGGCTAAGCTATAAAAGGGTCCTTTAAGAGGATCATACTTAGCTTGTAAGCACATTTTGTCTTATCTACACGTTTGATAAACATCAAAAGTGCTCATATGAGAAGTGCTTGTAAGCCAAAATCAGTCATAAGTTATAGCTTATAAACATTTTTTGTTTGACCAAGCCTTTTACGATTTTATCCCTAAGATCTTTTGTAATCTCCAATAAATTCCTCTAACATAACTTTTAATTACCTCTATTTTTCGTCTTTTTATGTAATAAATTCTTTTAAATTTATAGAATTTGTAAATAACTTTAAGGTCATTACAGTTATTTTAGCAAAAAAAGTGCTTATCAACAGTTTTTTTACCAAACATACTAATTGATTATTATCAGTTCTACTTCTCACTTAACACGTAACTGTCAATTTATAAAATCCACTTCAGCACCTAAAAGTGTTTTCCACCGTTTGACGCTTATCAGCTAAGCTAAGCAGGATCTATGTTTTCCACACATGAGCACTTTTAATCTTGTCAACTGTTTATCAAATTTTGGCTGTTAAATTTACCAAAACTATGAAAAAGAAAAGGATTTAACTAGAACCACTAGGAAAGACCCACTAAATCCCAAAAACTGCATCAGACACCAGAAATAGACCAAATATCACCAAATATGAAAAAGAAAAGGATTTAACTAGAACCACTATCAAATTCTTGTACTGGATGTGGTTCAAGAATCCAGGGATCTTTCTGAAAATGAGTTGGTGCAAAAGGCTAGCCTAGTCATGGAATTGGAAGAGATTGCCAAAAATGAGGAGTTAATTTAGAGGCAGAAATCAAGAGTTCAATGGTTAAAAACAAGGGGATCGAAATACTAAATATTTTTAGAGGATTGCAAATGCCCACAGAAGATTCAACAACATTGACAAGCTCATCATTAATGAGATACAAGTGGATGATATGGAAGTTATAAAGGGGTAGATATTAGCCATATTTCAGCACTTATACACTGAATCTGAAGCATGGAGGCCAGAGTTCAATTCTCCAGATTGTCCTAGAATTAGTGAGGCAGGGGAGCAATGGCTACAGAGGGAGTTTGAAGAGCAAGAAATCATTGAGGGATTGAAGGCTTGTGCAGCGGTCAAAACTCCGGGTCCAGATGGCTACACCATGGGTTTTTTTATTCAATATTGGGATGTGGTAAAAGAAGATTTGATGAATACTTTTCAAAACTTCCACTCAAAGGAATTGTTTGAGAAGAGCTTTAATGCTACTTATGTAGCATTAATTCCAAAGAAGACTGGGGCGATGGAGCTAAAAGATTATAGACCTATAAGTCTCATAAGTAGTGTGTATAAGATCATTTCAAAGGTGTTGACAGAGAGATTGAAGACAGCCATTCACAAACTGGTTGACACTCAACAAATGGCTTTTATCAAAGGTAGGGAGATCATGGATGCAGACCTAATAGCAAACGAATGTGTTGATTCCAGGGTTAAAAGTAAGATCCATGGGATCCTTGGCAAATTGGATATTGAGAAGGCATATGACCATATAAACTGGAACTATTTGCTGATAACTCTGAAGAATATGGGCTTTGCAAGCAAGTGGATCAAATGGATAGGTTTCTGCATCAGCACTGTTAAGTTTTCCATTCTAGTTAATGGTTCTCCAGAGGGTTTCTTTTCTTCAAAGAGAGGGCTAAGGCAAGAAAACCCTTTGTCTCCATTCCTTTTTATAATTGCAATGGAAGGTCTGAATAGTATGATTAAGAAGGCAAACCAGGAGAGGTGGATAAGGGGTTTCAAAGTAGTGAATAATGTCAGTAGCAATCTAGAGATTACTCATCTGCTTTATGCGGATGATTCTTTGATGTTTTGTGATGCTAATGAAGAGCAAGTTAGACATCTGAGGTTGATCTTATCTGTCTTTGAAGCTGTCTCAGGGTTACATGTCAACTGGAATAAGTCACAGGTGTACACAGTTAATGAGGTCACCAACATTCAAAGATTGGCAGGGGTGCTACGCTGTCAAGTGGGAAATCTCCCAACAACATATTTGGGGATGCCCTTGAGAGCAAAAAATAGATCTCAGGAGTTATGGAATGAGGTGCTGGAAAGGTGTGAAAAGAAACTTGCTATATGGAAAGGAAATTATCTTTCTTTGGGAGGGAGAATTAATTTAGTCAATAGTGTGCTAGATGCTCTTCCTACTTACATGATGTCTCTTTTCCCACTTCCTGTTAAAGTAGAGAAAAGGGTGGATGTTTTAAGGAGGAAATTCATATGGCAAGGGAATAAGGAGAAGAAGGCCTACAATTTGGTAAAATGGAGCACTTTGCTTAAAAGCAAGAGGGATGGAGGTTTGGGAATCAGAAATTTGAGACAACATAACAAGAGTTTACTTATGAAGTGGTTATGGAGATTTTCTCTGGAAGATCAAGCTTTATGGAGGAAGGTTATCTGTGAAAAATATGGGGCAGATGGAAGGTGGTGTATAGCAGGAGCTTCTGGATCCTATGGTGTAAGTGTATGAAAATCAATCAGAAATTTATGGCCAGGATTTATCAGCAATGTCAGTATCAAAGTGGGGAATGGCAATAAAACTTCTTTCTGGAATGATGATTGGATTGGTAATGGACCTTTTAAAGAGGCTTTTCCAAATTTGTTCACTATAGTGCAGCAACCCAAGCTACTGTGGCTGAGGTATAGAGTATGCAAGGATGGAATGTTACGTTCAGAAGGTTCCTCAATGACTGGGAGGTTACGAGAGTGATTGAATTCTACAAATTGTTGGATGGTTTTAATGGCATCACAGAAGAAGAGGATAGACTTAGGAAAGAAATTGCGGAAGAGTATATACTGTAAAGTCAGCATATGAAATTTTGAATAGCTCTGGCCACATGAACAACGAGACGTGGCACTGGAAGCACATCTGAAAGGTGAAAATCCCTTTTAAAGTGGCTTGCTTTTGTTGGCTTGTCGTCAAAGAGGTTGTTCTAACTCATGACTATTTAAAGAAGAGAGGAATGCTTATGTGTTCCAAATGTTTCTTGTGTGGAAAAGAGATTGAAACAAACAGTCACCTCTTTTTACATTGCAACGTAAATAGTAGGTTGTGGTATCTTTTCATGAGTATGAAAGGTGTGAAATTGGCAATACCTAGGACAACTGCAGAAATGTTAGCTTGCTGGAATAACCCAAATATTCTACTGAGGCAGAAGCATTGGTGGAGGTTGATCCCACCACGTATTTGGTGGACAATTTGGTTGGAGAGAAATTCAAGGTGCTTTGAAGATAGAGCTAACACTGAACAGAAGATCAAGACGAATTATATATTTTTGTTTCACTTTTGGTGTAAAGAAGCTCTGGTAGAGGATGTAGAGTCTATAGTGGATATTATTGGGTCTTTGTAACTATCACAAGTCTGGATTTGCGTTTTGCTTTTTTTCGGGGTTCTTGTAACTATCTTTAAACTATAGCATAATCTTTATGCTAAAGGTTTTTCTACTTATTTTATAAAACTTGTTACCTTCTCAAAAAAAAATAAAAAATAGATCAAATATATCATAAACTGCAAAAAATGCACCTCCAAATGTGACTTCGTATTCGTTAAATTAAACAATCAGAGTTTGTTAAAATAATTGACGACTACTAAAAATGCTCACTTTTTTGCAAACTTAAAGAACCAAAACTGCTCAGGAGTATAGTTAAGGGACTATTTTATTCTACCCCACATATAAGGGACCATTTTTTTTATTTTCTCGTCCAAAAATACAGAATTTAAGGCCTCCACTCTGCAAAGAAAGGCTGGAAATGGTGTTCCTTAACGTTGAGAAAATAGTTCTCTAACTGACAATATCTAAATAGAGATTACTTCACTTCGCAGCAAAAGCTAAATAAAAGAACCAAAAGCATTCATTCAAGTTTAATCTAAACGTCAATTAGAGTTAATTCTATTAGCACTTCCAATGGAACAGACAGAAGAATGCAATTAGGAAGAAGAAAGTCGTGCCTGTCCGGAGCTAGCAGCAGTAGTAGAGTAAGAGTGCACGAAATTTTTGGACAACGCGTTATAATTCGGCCAAACAAAAAATTCACTATTGGGAGGTGGACAGCTGCCGGCGCCGAGTAAAGTATTCTCAGAGAGACGAGAAACTGCAGGACGAAACCGAGAGAGTAGGCGGGAACGAGACGCCGCAAGGGCCGTGAGAGCAGAGCTAGAGCTTCTACGTGTTGCCATAGAGCTGATGATTGTGCAAATGAGACTCACTGTAACCTTAAGGAAGGGGCAAAATCAAACTGAAAGTGGAAGTGCGTGGAACAATCTAGAGTTATTTTCCTTGTGAAAAAAGCTCAAAATAGACTCGGCTCAAAATAATCCTATATCTTTTTTTTTTGGTTGAGCAGTCCATGTTCTTTGAGAAAGTGATATATTTTAATAGCCCATTTGGATTAGCTTAAAAAGTGGCTTTTAAGTTAACTACTTAAACGTACTTTATAAGTACCGGAACTTATTTTATAAATAAGCAGTTACGTGTTTGGATAAAAGTGCTAAAACTAGAAAAAATCTGATAAAGTGTTTGGTAAACAAGTACTGGTAAGCACTTTTTCTTGTTAAAATGACTGAAATATCCTTAAAGTTATCGAGGATTAAGTAGCAATAGAGGTGGCCGGCGCCGGGGAAGGAAGCTATCCCAAAATCTTCTCTGATCTCCGTTCACTCCTATCATATCGCCGGACTTCACATTCTCGGATGGAAAATACAATAATTTCTCAGAGGTTAAGAGGTGAGCAAGAGAAAGGGCAATGGAAAATATATTTGATGAAAGAAAGGAAAGGAACACGTAAATATATTTTCCGTTCATAGCAGCACTAGGGAAGAAACAAAGGAAAGGAAAAAGATGGGAAAATAATAAATGAAAGTGTAAAGAAAGAAATGAAAAGAAAAGAGAGGAAAGCTATGGAAAATGACCAAGAAAAAAGCAGGGGTTGTTGTAACAAAGATGGAGAAAAGAAAAGGATAGTATGTTGTAGGGTTTTCTACTGAGGGGTAATTTCAGGATTAAGAAAAATTATAAGGGATAAGAATATAATATTTTTGGTCAAAGTAATATGGCTTTTACGCCAATTTCGAAAAGTTGGGTTTTTTAACTTATTGGTTTTGGCTTTTTTTAAGCAGATTTTAACTTTTTTAAACTCTTTTTTTTGGTTGCCAAACACTTCCACAAATTAAAAAGTATTTACCAGCTTTTAAGCCCATCCAAACAGGCTCTAAGTCCCAAACCTAACCACCGTGAGTCCTTTAACGGAACAAAAATTCCCTCCAAACTCAAACTCTTGTTGCTGCAATATCCTTTGGGCTTCTCCTTGAAATGATCAGACTTCAGATCAGCAAAATTATAGCTTGGAAGTAACAATATCTATAAGGCATTATAGCGGCAGAGAATTGACTCCAATTTATGGTTAGCTTTTCTTTACTCTTGTCGGACCCCCTCCCACAAAAAAGTTAAGTACAAGAAACATGTTTATGAATAAGTAAAAAGAACCCTTAAAAGACACCTTTGCAACTTTGTTATTGTTTTTTTCTTTTCTTTTAAAAAGTATGACTTGATCCACGCCCTAAAATCGGAAAGTTTTCGGATATGTACTATTGTTAATGTCGTATTGTATATTATTTTTGCTAATCGTGTCATAATATACTTTTTGTGATTTGAAAATCGATAACCGAGGCATCATTTGTTAGTATCAAACTATTGTATAAAACATATGCTAGAAAAGCATTATGTTGGCGGCAAACATCAACTATATTGATTATATTAATATGAAAAAATCGAACCTTGATGAGTTCAAGAGATGGCAGAGATTTGTGGATAGTCAAAGGATTCAATAACTTTTTGGCATAGGTATGGAAGATCTGTTAGTAAATGAAGGTTGGTATCTACACATAATGAAGCCTATGCAGTTGGTAGAAACATCCCGAATGACAATGTGATTGAGATTTACTTTATACACTTGGACTCATATTTTAGTATAGACAATATGGATTCAGTATATAAATCAAATGATGGAGTCTGGAGATAATGACAAACATTAATTTGTGTGGGAAAATTCATTTAGTGATGATGTTAGTGACTCAAAGCTGATTTGTCTGGTGATCTACTTGTTGATAAACATGAAAATATTGCACAAAGCATTACGGATGAAAGAGAGATTCTTTGTGTCGAATGGAAGAGGAAGATGGCAGTTCCAGAAAGGGAATTTAATTCTGTTGATTCTACAGACACAAAAAGTTTGCATAGAGATTCTGAGATTGAGAAATCAAGTTTCCCTCAATTCAATCAACATACAGATAGAGATAATCCGATTTTAGCTCTGGAATATACTTTTTCAAGCAAGCAAGATTTTAAGAATACAATAACTACTCATGAGATTAAGTGTAACAACCCGCACGGTCATTTTGCGTATTGTAGTCATATTCTCCCATTTATTACTTATTTTTTGTTCGTTTGTGGTTATGTGACTTGCCGGGGTGGTTGGTTTGGTTCCGGGGATATTTCGGAATGAATTAGGACACTAAGTCCCTAGGTTGGAAGCGTAAGTTGAAAGAGTTTATCGAATATTGACTTATGTATAAATGACTCTAGAATAGAGTTTTAATAGTTTTGATAGCTCTGTATGGTAATTTTGGACTTAGGAGTATGCCTGAATATTGATTTGGAGGTCCGTAGGTCGTTTTGGCTTGAATTGGCGAAAGTAGGAAAGTTGAAGGTTTGAAAAGTTGAGAAGTTTGACCGAGCGTTGACTTTGTTGTTACCGGGCTCGGATTTTGGTTTCGGAAGTTGGAACAAGTCTGTTGTATCATTTATGACTTGTGTGCAAAATTTGAGGTCAATCGGAGTGGATTTGGTGTGTTTCGGCATTGGTGTTAGAAGTTGAAAATTCAATAGTTCATTAGGCTTGAATTGGGGTACGATTTGTGTTTTGATGTTGTTTGATGTGATTTGAGGGTTCGACTAAGTTCGTATAATATTTTTAGGATGTGTTGGTATGTTTGGATGGGGTCCCGTATTCCTCGGGTGAGATTCCGATTGATTTCGGATTGAGTTTGGCCTTGTAGACTTGCTGAATTTGCTGGTGTCTGGTTTCCTTATACGCGTTCACGAGAGAGGTCTCGCGTTCACGGTGTGTATCTAGGTGATTGGTGAAGTTTGTTCTTCGCGTTCATGAAGGTTTAGGGAGTTTGTGCATCACGATCGTGAGAGGGGACTCGCGTTCGCGTAGAAGGTTGAGGCCGGATGGGCACCAGACATTTAAGCCTTTGCGTTCGCGGGAGATGAATTGCGTTCGTGTAGGCATTGGTTCAGTGATCATCGCGTTCGTGAGGGAGGTCTCGCCTTCGCGTACGAGGAATTTTGGCAGCTGAGGATTTTGTGCTTCGCGAACGTGAGGCACTTTTCGCGTTCGCGCAGAAGGACAACTAGGCAGCAGTATATTATTTCCAAATCGAGGGTTTTGTACCATTTTTCATCTTTTGAGATAAAGACCTCGATTTTGGCTGATTTTTGAAAAGATTTTCAAGGAGTTGATTGGGATAAGTTATTCTAACTCGGATTTGATTATTATACATGAATCCATCATTATTTTACCATTTAATTAGTGTTTTGGGTTGAAAAAAATGAGAAATAAACTATATTTTGAGGATTTGAAAGGCAATTTGAGGCTGGAATTGGATGATTTAAGTGCGGTTGGACTCGTTATTGAATAGATGTTCTAATTTTTGTGAATTTTGTCGGGTTCCGAGACGTGAGCTCGGAGTTGACTTTTTGACTTTGGTTAAAGAACTTAGCTTTATCGTATGGAATCGATTCTTATAGCTTGTATTGATTGTATTAAGTTGTTTGTGGCTAGATTGGAGTCGTTCGCAGGCCGATTTGGAGGCAAGGGCTTGTTGGAGGTGTGATTTGCGCGGTTTGAGGTAAGTAACACTTCTAAACTTGGTACTGAGGGTATGAATCCTCAAATTTCGTGTTATATGGTTGGTGTTGAGGTGACGCACATGCTAGGTGACGGGCATGTGGCGTGCATCGTGGTAATTATGACCCGGTTGATTCCGTGGTACTGTGTAGTTATCAAATCTTGTTGCTATTCATGTAATCCCTACGTGTTAGAGTAATTGAGTTGTGATCCATGTTAGAAATCATGTTTAGGCTATATGCTTATTCTGTTGGGACCCACTGAGAACATTTCTGCTATTGAGTTATTTACTTAAATTGTAATTATGTACTTAGTCACATTCATCATTTGCATATCATATCTCAGTCTCTGTTATCATTTATTGTTATATCATATTATCCTTGTTTGGGCTGATTGGCATGAGATTTGTGAGCTCGAGAGACTCGAGAGATTGATGACTGAGTTGCGGCCTGAGGGTCGTCTTGTGCGTGATATTTATGGGATCGGGTTGCGGCCGCAGCAGCCTTTATTGACACATTTATGGGATCGGGATGCACGCTGCAGCATGCCATGCTGGCTTATATTAGCGCTTAGGTAGGATCCGCCCCTCTAGAGCCTGATATACCAGGAATGAGCACAGGTACCATTGAGTGTTGAGTGATTGAGAGTGCTGAGCGATTGAGAGTGTTGAGCAATTGAGTGTGCTGAGCGATTTGAGTGTGTTGAATGATTGAGCGTGCTGAGTGAGATTGATACTCTGAGAGTATGAGTACATGAGTTTATTACTGTGTTGCATTACATGTAACATGCATATTTGACATGTAGACATAGAGACGTAACATTCCTCGTGTTGACTATACTTGGCATATTTTATTAGTATCAGTCCCACCACAGCAGGGGTTGCCCTTATAGGCCTGCTCAGATGGCTCGTCCGGTTTATCGTGGTGCATCAGCTAGCCATGGTTCATACAGTGCTCGTCCGGGTCAATCATCTCTCAGTGCCTTCCCAGCTCAAAGTTCATCTCGTGCTTCATCAGTTCAGGGGTTCATCTGTACCAGGTCCTTCTAGTAGCTATTCTGGTTCTTGGGGTCCGATTCAGTCTCCACCACCATTGGCGAATCAGAGTTGCTTCGAGTATGGGGAGTTTGTACATGTGTGGAGGTAGTGTCCCCGTCGTTTTGGAGGTCTAGTTTAGGAGAGGAGTCAGATTATAACTTCCGCACCAGTTACTTCACCACCCGCTCAACCAGCTCGGGGTGGGGCTTAGGCAGCTAGAGGTCACCCTAGAGGGGGAGGCCGATAAGGTGGCGGTCAGGATCGATGCTATGTTTTTCCCGCCAGACCAGAGGCCGTTGCTTCAAACGCAGTGATCATAGGTCTTGTTCAGTATGCCACAGGGATGCTTCCATATTATTTGACCCTGGTTCCACTT